GGGCCCGGGGGCCCGGGGAGGGGCGGCAGGGCAGGGATGGGGAGATAAACCGAGTCCCGGGGCGGCCGGCGGTGCCCTCCCGTGCCACCCGAGCCTTTCTCACATTCTTCTGCCTGCTGTAATGGACCGTCGGGGAAGCGCCCTGGCCCCGCAGCAATGGCAGCGGGAGATATTTCACTGTCAGCCTCTCTTCTTATGTCCCCATCCCTTCACTGCCTCTTCCCTCCTCGCCTGACAGCTGCCTGCCTGCTTGTCAGCAGCATCTGTCCCCTGCCCGCAGGAGTGCTCGGCGGTGCCGGTCCCCTGCCTGCTCCCACCAAGCCCTGCGCGGTCCCACGCCGTGCTCGGCAGCGATGCTCGAACCGACAGAGCCGCCCTCCGTCCTTCCCCCATCACCGTGGCCCCCAAGGCTGTTCATCCCCAATCATGACAATCATTTTGAAGTCTTTCGTCCTTTAAGGGCGTTGCAGTTGTTGGCGAGGAGCGTGAAAATTTGAAAACTCCTGCTTCGGCTGAATTCTTCAGGACAAGTTACGTAATCCGCAAATAGAGGAGTTTCCCTGTGGGTTTTGCCAGGTGCTTACAAAATCAGGCCTTGCGCACCTAGGTTGACGTTCCATCGAGCCATGGTCAGGAGCTTTGAGAAGAGCAGGGGGAGATTCCACGTATTCCTACAAATTATCTGCTGGAAAAAGGATGAGAAATGGCCCTAAACACCCATTTCAGTGTGGCCACGGGAGGTGCTTCCCTGTCTGTGTGGATTAGTCTTTCTTCAGTAGTGAGATGCTTTGTAAATCCTGTCGCTTCTTTTCAACCCCTGGTATTCAGAAGCACTTTGTTCCTGGCCTTTTAGGTGCTATCTGGCAGATCTTGTGTGTTTTAAGAAGTTATGATAGTGAAAACGTAAAGTTACCACTAGAACGTCAGTTCTTTTTTGTTACTGCATAGTCTGTTCAGGTTGGGAATTCAACTAAAATGATTTTTAGCATGTGGTTCATGAATCTGTTTGCAAAAGGAGTGGTTTTTTGAGTGTCTTGCAACTTTGAGGCCTCTGTCTTGCCTAAAGGAATTGACTCTCAGCCTGCTGGTTTGGTATTGCTGTTGCATTGGTCAAAATGAGTAAACGTGGATCTATTTGACTACTACAACTTATTTAACAAGAACAGGAATCGGACGTACTGGTTTCATGCAAAATAACCCAATAGCGAGTATAAGCTAGGCCTTTCCTCATGAAAGGAAAGTGTTTCTGAATAGAATGAGTTTGCTGGATCTTCTTCTGTCTAATTTTAATACTAAATTGAAGCTCACAAAAGTAACTTCATCCTCAGAATGATCTGGATGGTCTTAATACATTGGCTCACTCGGAATAGTGAGTTCCACATGAAGATTTTTGTTGACAGAAGGTTTCTTTTGTTATATGGTGACTTTTTAACATGCTGGTCCTTCCCTGAGAGTGCAAAAATGAAGTGAAATTCTGGCACTTTTAAAATTCAGATCCCCTTGTAAGTGAGGATATTGTTCCCTTTCACCTCTGGAGCTCCTGGTTTTAGTGTTTCCTTGTACGATACTCTGCTGTAATTTTTTTTGCACTGAAGGGGTACGTGGGAGATGTCTTTCAGGGCCCACAGTGTGTTCAGAAGATCCTGTTCTTTTTTTTTTTTTTTCCTTCAAGATTTTATGAAGAAACCTGTTTCTTTTGTCCACACTAAGCCTTGTTTATGGTGGGAAGGCTTTAAAGCTAATTTGGCGTTGCTACATGCTCTATAATCATTCTCAGTCTGGCTGAGCCATACCTCCCAAAGTACACGATAACATACTTTCCTCCTCTTGAACAAATTGTTTTATTTTTAAGCTAGCCTGTGCTTTCTCCTGGGTTTTGCCAGCCTTGTTGCCAAAGGGGCAGGCTGTCCTGCTGTGTCTATGGAGAAGTGATCTCAGATGTAACGGAATACCGATCTGAGACTCAGCTTTAGAAATGATCTGAAAACCACTGGAAGGCACAGGGCACTGATTGATGTGTTGTTCGTTTAGTCTCACCTTGCGTTAACATGTTGCCTCCTTGGCCCTGCGCACAAGCCAGCGTGGATGTTAAGTGTTTGAGGGTGCTGAGAGTAAGGCATTTTTTTCTATTCCCTCTGTTTGTCTTGCTTCCCCTGGCTCAGACGTGAACTAGCTGTTCTTCATCCCATCTTCTGAAGGCTTTATTGTACCTTTAATGGCATGTACTACTTCAGCTGAAATAAAGCTATGAGGACTAGTGTCAAAAGAGTATTGATGGTTACAGTGTCAGGGGCATGCACTGCCCTTTTCAAGTGATACTGAAAAGTAGAAGCAGGCATGCTCACTGGCATAAATCATACCACGTTTCCTCACTCACTAATGTAGATTTTGGCTGGCAAAATATTTGTCCTCGAGTAGCACCTGTTCTAGCCCTTCATGTTCAGCACGCTGAACTATTTTTTTTTTTTTTTTTGGATCCAAAGTCATTTCGTGCTATTGTAGTGCTATCTGTCATTGCTGTTTTTCAGCCTAGCGTTGCATTTTAATAGGGATGAGTAACCCATACGCGTATAAGGGTGAACTGGTTTATACTCGCATCTAGTACATTTCCTCGCAGTCCCTTTTCTCTGCATAACTGAAGCAACTTTACAGTGTTAGACCTATCTCTTCTAAAAGTTCTGTTTTCTTTGGCCTTGCTCTGAATATAATCTTTTTAGGTCAGGGTTTATTTTCTGTGGGACCCTTAGCATACTTGTGGGACCTATAAAACAGTAAATTCATGTTACAGTGCAGCACGGATGTGTTGGCAGTAAGATCAGCAGCGGAGATGGTAGTCTGTTTAAAATTGGAAACCTATTGCCTTGATATACTTGGTTTGAGCCATCTGGATATGTTATTCGACTGTCCCATTATTTCTTGTGTGGAGGAAGGAGCCAAGATCTTTGGTTGTTTGATGGACATTGAGAGACAGCTGAGAGATTAAATCTGCCTTTCACAGAGCATTCCAGCTCCCTGTGCTGTTAGGAAACCATATGCTCAGTACATCACCAATTCACTTCAGAAGCAAGACTGTCATAAGCGTTGTGTATCTCTCATGGCGTGGGCTGAAGGCACACACTGATCAGGTGTGTCAGTGACAGTAGTCGTGCTCTTCCTCCCCTTCTTTTCCCTCACCCTTTACTTCTTGGTCCTACAAATACTCTTTCATAAGACTTTTTTTTTCCCCCTCCTTCCCCAGGGAGAAAAATCTGCATCTGTCTCTTACCCACTGTGTCACGCCTCTGATTTGGCAGCGCACATGTTAACACCAGTGCTATTTTCTTTCCATGACAACCTTAAATGCAAACCCTGTGTTCTGGTATAAAAAATGGTAGCGTTTCCTCATCTTCAGGATTTAGCAAAAAGGACAGCCCTTTTTGCAGTGCTGGGAACTTCCCCGTTGTTCCATTAGATTTGTCTTGATTCTTCAGTCCTCCTAGAGTGACTTGCCGTCCAGGTGTGCCTTGCTCCTGTCGCATCCTCTGCATCTCAGATGTGGTTTACTTTGTCATCAGATGGAACGGCCTGTTGTTTGTCTAGGACAGAAGCTGTGGCGTTGCAGCTCTTCTCGGGAGCTTCATCAATAATGCAGGTAGAAACGTGGAGAGATTTAAAATTGAAAGAGGTTTAGCTAATTGCCTTTCTTGTTTGCTGGATTTGGGTAAAAGATTATAATCTAAGTCAATAAAAATGATATTCTTGGCAGGTGCCTTCTAAAGTGTGAGCTTCTTTGCAGTATGTGGGCAGGGGGAAACCTAGACTGTCCAAAGCCTCTGTTCAGCAGAGGAACTAAGCAGCAGTTTTTTACTTAAAATACTCCATAAGAACAGCTTTAATATGTAAAACATGAAGAACTCCATAAAAATGATGAGCATTATGATGAGGTTACGTATATTTCCAAAGGGGGGAGCACAGGAGGGATTTGGATGTAGAGTAGATGATATGGCCCCAAATACTGCTCTGTCCCCGTGTACTGCTCCACCCCCAACCCCCAGCAGTACCCTGCTCCTTGCACTCCTTTCTGGGATGCTGCTTATACTCGTTTTCCCCAGTCCATAGTCCTGCCTCTGTCCGGCAGCGTAGCCTGGTCTATTTATATTACAGATCTATTTATATTGTTTCAGGATAACTTTCATCATTGTTCCAAGTGCATCTGGAAAGAGAGACGGAGACTTGCCATGTAGCTGCAGACATTAGGAAACAAGGGAAAAAAATACTTCATCCTCTGCAAATGTTTTTTCCCTCTTGGCCTGTGGGGCTGGTGCTTCATTTAACTTCAACCAAATGTCAAATAGAGGGGGACTGGTTGAAAAGAAATTGCCCTTAATTTATGGAGTTTCTTGTAAACAAGAATCAACTTCTCGGTTCCCCTTTGCTTCCTGCTTATGTTTTCTTCCTGCGCTGGTCAGGGAGAACTTCCCCTTGTCTCTGCTCTAAAGACATCGTCTGTCAACCCTTTTTCCTTCCTACTCTAGTGTTGCAACTTAGGTCTGGTGATGTCTTCTCTCCCTGTTTTTTTTGTTAGCCTTTTCTGTCTCTCAAAAAGCAAAGGAAACAGAACCTTTTGCAGGCGAGTCTCTTCAGCAAGGTCAACAATACAGATTGTAAGTCAGACTTTTTGTGAAACGAGCACAAAGCCACTGATCAGAGGAGTGTTTTTAAGTTGGCATTGGGGCAGATCTTTAAAATCTTAATTTCTGAGCCTCCTTCCTGGATCATTAGAAAACTACTACACTGAATTAAAATACAGCAGTTGCATTTTTATGTGAATGTGTGTTCTGGGGGGAAGCTATTAGTTTCAAACTGTGGGTTTTAATGAGACGTTTATCTCCAGATGCCTTCTGGAATAGTTGTCTCCAGTTCCACAATGACACATTGCAGAGAAGATACTCATTGCCATGAAACGCAGGTACCCGTGGAGTGGAAATCTGTAGCTATGTAGTGCACCTCGGCTGTGAGCTGGGGATTTGGCCCGTGATACGCTGAAATGCAGCTTGTGGATTTGAATAGTCGCATAGCCTTAGCCCTCGTGGTGTAAGTGAGGCAAGGTTCATCAGAAGTCATGCTTTAAGCATGGTTCTGGCCCAACTGGCTTGAAACAGAAGAGGGTAATTTTGAAACAAATTTCAAGATAAGAATGCTGCTCTGAGATAATTTTATTTCTAGATAAAGCTTTTAAATTTTGTAATGCCTCCCCCCCTAAAAAAACCCCCATTTGCCAGTGGAAGCGTGAACCGCTATATGAATAACTGAAAGCTGCTGACAGTGTGTTTCCTTTCCTTACCTTTCACTGATCCCCAGGGGTGCTGCTGAAGTGGACGATTTGGGAGAGGAGCACACTGGCATCTGAGGAGAAGGGTCTAAAGGCAAGGGAAGAAGATAACAAAGAATAACCTTATAGGACAGAGGGAGAGAGAGAAAACTTTTGACTTCCAGAACACAGAGAGGTTAACTAGCAGACAGAATTGTAATATGTTGTTAAAACCAGAGCAGACATAGCACCCAGGCTTCTCTTCTGTAAGTGTTTCATTGCTTTCTCTTGAGGACCAGAACTGAACTAGTGTCTGCACTAACTGCTGTTCCCTGAACTCAGATTTATTGGTTGCTTTGATCTAAGAATTCAGCAGACTCAGAAGTTTTATTCCTTGTGCTTGACTGTTCCCAACACTTCCAGTGGTTCCAACTTTATTGCAAGTTTCACAATATTTGATATTTTCCATAAAAGTTCAGCTCCAGAGTTCTAGGATTACAAGAAAATCCTTATTTAAAATTGTTCCTACACTTCAAAGTTGGAGTCAGGGAGCATGTGAAAGCATAAACATTACATTTGAAACAGAAAAACCAAAAAGGCAAATACTTCACTTTTTCATATTATTCTTAATTTGTTCTAATTACTTGCTGAGGGTCTGACTCATGATTTATTTGCTGTTTGATACTGAAAATTGACATGCTCAGTGGTTTTTGTTGTGGTTTTTTTTTCGTGACCACCCAGAATCTCCTTATCCACTCTGTAAAAAGAGGCCTCCAGTGTCATTGACCAGATGTTTCTTACATATACTGACTTTTTTGCACAGTGTCAAAATGTTTGATGCTTCAGCCAGCAGGGCAGTGTCAGGGTCAGAGATAATGTTGTGTACACTGTTCAGCCTCAGGGTTTTTTGGTTTGTGGGTTTGGGTTGTGGTTTGTTGTTTTTTTTTTTTTTTTTTCCCCAGCTTGCACTACCTGACCCCTACTGCTCCTGTTCATGTTGAATTAAAAACATGAAGATATTCAGAGTACTCCCTCTGAGAAGAAGGTTGTGTGGATGTTGGTTAGGGACTTGTTATTAACCAAGCAAATTGATAAAACAGAAATAGCGAGTGGCTGGAAGACACTATGTTGTGTGGCACCACTCAGTGTTCAGACAGTGAGAAATTACTCTGAGTAGTCACGGCAAATAAACAGGAGTAGAAAGCTGTATTGTTAGAAATGGAAATGTGCCCTGTGCCAGGTATTCATCCGGGGAGCCAAACAGCTGAGGTTTTTCTTCTTCCCCATAATCCACTTGACTTCAGCTTTTGTTTTTTGGCAGTTCATCCTTGTGATGTCGTCCCTTTCCCTCACCGCTTCTTCACATCATGTTTCAACAGATCTGGTGGCTGGATCCAGAACTGACGTATGGCAATGCCAAGCCATTTGTCTTCACGCAGGGCCACTCAGTGTGTAACCGGTCTTTCTTCCCCTGCTTTGACACACCAGCAGTGAAATGTACCTATTCAGCTACTGTCAAGGTAAGTGACCGAATGGCTATAAATGGTACATGGAGCACTTAGCTGCTGTTAACTTGCGAAAGCATAGTTACATTGTGTATGTACGTATGAGGTAAAATATTCATTGTGACATTGAGTGTTATAAAAAATACTGGATCTCTTAGACCGCATTCTGGTTCTTGGGCTAGAATCAGGGTACTGCCACAAAGGCAACTCTGTTGCCTATTACACTTGGGTCTTGCCTTCCTTGTACTCAACGCTGAAAGAGTAACCATGAAATGGATAATATGAAAGAGAGGATTTGGCCGGTCACTTTCAGTCGTGGTTATTGATGATAATACTCAACTGTATTTTATCAATTCTTGAAAGGAAAAAAACAAAGTTTTATGAAAGCAGCATCAAATAATGTTGCATTTTGTGTAGATTAAATAATTTGATATGTGGGCACTGGAATAATTTGATATATGGGGGAGCTGGAATAAGAATCCATGCAATATAGGAGGAGTAATATTTTTTGGTTGGTATGTTTTCACAGGCTGGGTAGATTGTGGTGTAAAAACCCCACAGAAATCTTACATTTTGTGTTAGCTAAATGATTGTTTTTAATATACATGCTCTTAGGCATAGATGAAAAAAACCCAGAGAGATCTGTGGTGTAGTCATTCAGCTGTGATCATCTAGTGAGTTGATGTGTATGATGTTCGTCTTCCAGGCTCCAGCAGGCATACAGGTGTTGATGAGTGCCACCCAAAGTACCTATTTAGAAGAGGAAGGTGTCTATCAATTTTACATGGAATATCCAGTTCCTGCCTACCTAGTGGCCCTGGTGGCAGGAGACCTTATACATGCAGACATAGGTCCAAGGTAAGATTTGCAGTGAGTTGATTCTGCTTTTTGTGTCTTTGTGCAGTGCTTCAGGTTATAAGTAGTAAATACTTTTGAGTCATGGATGAGGGAACAGTTGGGGCCATGAGCTGTGAGCGTTCAGAGAGTTTGAGGTTTAGTTGAGTGTAAACAACTGCATGGCACTGCATTGGCAAAGATATTTTCCTCTTTCATAAATGTTGCTTATTGTCCCCTGTAGTCATTACAGCTACTTGCCTCGTTGCCTTAAGGCAATTTAAGGGATCTTTGATTATTTCTTGTCACGTATCCATAGAGTGTTAGCCTAAAGAAGGCCCGAGTCTGATGTGAGACCTCTTAGCACTGTTACCATACATGGAAACGTGGTGAGAAGTCAGGCTATTTTTTCTAAGAGATAATTCAGTTTGCTGAAGTATCACCTGATGTTTTCTGTTTTCTGACAGGAGCAGAGTGTGGGCAGAGCCTTGCCTGCTGCCAACAGCCATCAGCAAGCTTTCTGGCATGGTTGAGCGCTGGTTGACTGCTGCAGAGAGTCTGTATGGCCCATATATATGGGGAAGGTGAGTTTAATAAGTTTCCCAGGAATGTGTAACGGGAACAAAAATAAAACAATCTTGAGAAATTATCATGCTTTCTCCCTACACTAGCAGTAGCAGGACAGATGAGCCTCTCGGTTGGCAGCACTGTGGTAGTTGGAAACAAACTCTGGAGTTTTGTCTGTGCAAGTGGCAGAGAGGACCATGGAGGCGTGGTAGTGTTTTGCATGGTGTGGTGGGCAGAACTGGAGGTTTCTAAACAGTGGCTCTTCCCTGAGGAGTGAAGGTTTTTTATACTATGGTGTTTTGTGATGCAAGTCCAACATTGGGCTGGACACCATTTAAAATGCATGGCAATTTTATTTATCTATCTTATTTTTATGTATGGTAGTTGACATATGATATATTTATTGTGGTATGCCTGAGGATGCTGAAAACTGGACTTAGTACAGACTCATTAAGAGTCTTAGTCCCTAAAAACAATATTAATAGTTTCTGAAGTTAAGCTTGACTATGTATTAGAAGAGAATGTTTTTGAGAGAATGTTTTCATTCTTTGGATGGGAGAAAATGTTTAGAAAGGCTTCCTATATTTCTTTGCTAAAGGTAAGCAGGAAGAACACATTGTTGTTAACTTACAAAATGTTGCTTGAAAAGGTCTGAGAACAAGGCCCGGTGTGTCAGTGCTGATCACTGATGGAGAAATTTAGAAAACAGAACAAATAGTATTGTTATGTTCTGAAGCAGACAGACTAGAGTCATTTTGCTGACACTGCGGGTACACCAAATCAATTAATTCATTCAATAGCTTCCCAGCCTCTCTCTTTCCTGGGAGCCTCTGGGGACTTCACACTGCGTATGTGGGTAGTGTATGTAGAGTAAACTTAGTGGTGCTGGATATCAGATATACAACTTGTGAGTTTGCCTGTGTGAAGGGAGCATGATGCTTCTGGGAAGTGCTGGGTCTGCTGCACGTGAAAAGACTGTCTAGTCTTGCATCCAAATGTGAGCAGGTCCTTGGCCAACAGAATAAACTCTGTGATCCCCTGATCAGAAGAATTAGGCACCACTGGTCTAGAAAGTTTGTTCCTGAACTCACAAAAAACCTCTCAGAAGAGCTTTCCCTAAGGAAAAAAAAAAAAACATTTCTGTGTATGTCTTTTGAAATAGCTGTAATTTACCTATCTCCTTTCTTCCTCCTTCTCTAATTTTAGATATGACATTGTTTTTCTTCCTCCATCCTTCCCTATTGTTGCCATGGAAAACCCATGTCTGACCTTCATCATCTCTTCCATTCTGGAGAGCGATGAGTTTTTGATCATTGACGTCATTCATGAAGTTGCCCACAGCTGGTTTGGAAACGCAGTCACCAATGCTACATGGGAGGAGATGTGGCTGAGCGAGGGGCTAGCTACATATGCACAGCGCCGGATCACCACTGAGACCTATGGTATAGATGCAGAAATGTTTCTCCTTATGATGTGTCTAACCAATAATTGAGAGTTGGCTGCATAGAATATTTGCCTTGGCAGCTCAGAAGTCTGTAGGGAGCTGGTTTTCTTTTTTTATTTCTGGAACACACATGGCCCCAAACTTTGCATTGAACATCTTAGATGCTTAGTGTCTGGTGTTGTCTTGGCTTTGGGTGGAATCAATACCTGATAGGATAACAGGGGCTTTGAGTGAGGTGTGTTAGCACAGCATTGTAAGGACGTTTGTAGGAACTTCGGAACTACTGTCGGGTGCCAGGCAGGTGTTCATATGTCAAGGCAAGGTGAGCAGAGGATGCTTCAGAGAAAGATGTAAGAAGTCTTATCATGGTTACATTGTGAAATAACTATCCTCTGAACTACTGTCTTTCTAATCCTGATCAGTTAGTAGCTACCTACTGTTGGAAAGAATGATGGCAATAGCACTTAGAAAGAAAAATGTACACATCTACGTAGCTGTCTACCTGCTTGAGGCTTCCTGTAGAATTGTACAGCCCTGTATATATATATACACATATAAGCCTTTGCTTATATCAGTGAATTTCACAGGTCAATTGTATGGTACTGTCTTTAGAATATATAGGTAGTAAATCATTCCTGTTGCTTTTCAGTTTAATTGGATTTTTATTGAAGTGAATAATGGGAACATACGCTTCTCTAGTTTGTCCTGTTATGTTCTTAAAAGCCTGTACCATGTGCATTCTCACGCGTCCGCTGTAAACAATCTTGGAAAAATTCCTGGAAATCTTGGCAGCGAGAGTGTTTAGAAGGATGCTTTTGTTTTTATTCATGTATATTGTTTTTGGAGATGAGCTGATGATAATGAAGTTTAGGGAAAGAAGTGCTCTGAGCATATATGGAGATGGTACAATGTATATTATATAACTTTGAAAGCTCTTTTATGTTGAGTAATTCTCAGTGGTTAGGACTGTTCTTATAAGTCACGTTATATTATACATGGCAATGATACGAATAGGTCAGAAGATATTGACCTGTTCTCTATCCCATCTTAGTCTGTCACTCTGACATAGGATAAGATCCTTGCTGATTTTGGTCAATTCTCTTGAAATTTAGAACTGGTTGCTTCAAGAAGCAATTGTTCAGGAAACTAAGAAATGCCTTTCCCCATGCCATTCTTTAGTAAGCTCTTTTTGCATTCTATTTTGTTTCTAAGACAAACCTCTGATCTAAATCTTGCCATTTCTGGAGTATCTTCTGCTGTTAATAAAAAGGCATCTTTGTAATGACATTGTTTACAGAAATTGGAGTCCACTGACTACCAGACCTCTTGGATCTTGCTTAATCCTCCTCCCTGTAGCTTGAAGTAATTGCCCTTACCACTGACTATCCTGGTTCTTGCTTTCCCGTGAAGCACATCCAGCCCTTTCTCTGCCAGTACAGGTTCTTCTATCTTCCAAGTATATCCTGGTTCTTAATTCTCATTTTGCTTATATCGGATTCTTGCGTACATACATCGAGACTCTGAGATTGTATCTATGTAACAAGCCCTATGGCTGAAGTTGAAGACTTAGCAAAGAAAGCTAAAGTGTTAATAGTGCTGGATGTTAAGTGTCTTCTGAATCTGAAAATCCGTTTTCCACAGCTTTTTACATCTGCAAGGGCATAGGAAAGATCTCTGGACTTGCCAGTGTAATACAGCTAGTTTGGCTTGAAAGCATGGAACGCTCTACGCTGCAGTTAGATAGAAAAGAAAGAGTAGCCTACCCAGTTGCAGCTGTAAAAGAAGTCCTAATGAGTGGAAGGTGAAAATTGTATGAAACAGTATGGGTAGGGTGCTAGATAAAGCTTAAAAAAGATCCACAGGATCTGTAATACACCAACTAAATCTAATCCTTTTCTGTTTTCACCCAAGAGGTGATACTTGCTTAGTAATATCCTTGGCACTGAATATGGAATCGTGTGTCTACTATTCTATCAGTGACATTACTTTTTTGTAGCACTTAATTGCTCCTTGAAAGTTACCTGTACAATACTTACTCCAATGCTGCTCTGCTTATCTTGCAAGAACTGATAAGATGATGTCGCTGATGTAAACTTTAGCATAGTTTTCATGCTGCTTTGTTTTTCGGTTCAGCCTGCTGCATAATCAGAATGAGTAAATGCACTGTTTTAGGTTCTGACTTTCATTACAAATTGCAAGGATTTTTTTGCACTCAAGTTTCTCTGCCATTACATTACTGTGATTCTGTCTCGCTATTGTTGTGTCTTTTACACCTTCAGTAGTGTTTATTTTGTACCTGTGCTAGTTCTGCACAGGTCAGGTTTTGCTAGTCATTTTCTCACAACTAATAGGTTTCTTTCTGGGGTAGGAGCTGCCTTCACATGTTTGGAGACTGCATTCCGCCTTGATGCTCTCCACAGGCAGATGAAGCTCCTTGGAGAAGACAACCCGGTCAGCAAGCTTCAGGTTAAACTGGAGCCAGGTATTGCTTTTGGCTGAAACTGCTGTACATAAAATTTCTGTATGTTGATGCTGGAATATAGACCAAAAAAGAATAATTTTTACATATCCTTTATAAAAGAAAGAAAAAAGAAATACTGGTTTGTAAACCACTCTAAAAGTAAATAAGGAAACTTGCCTTGAAGTTTTCTTCAAAGTTGGCTAACTCATCTTTATAAATATTGTTCTGTTTAAGAACAGAACAGACTGATTGGGTAGAAAGAGAGTGTGAAAAACTGCCTTGAAAGCTGTGTGGTTTTGAGCTTCTGAATATGTAAAATAAAGTAATTTATAATGAAAATATTTGGAAAGATCAAATAAAATCCTGTGCTATTAAATGTTCCTCTTTTTATGTGTTCATGTAAGAACTATGTATGTATGCATAAGCATACAGATAAATATATGTACTTGCTCTCCTGTTGAGTGAGCTGTGCAGGGGCTGTTTGGTTATCCCCTGAGCCAGATGCACATCTGCACTCCAGCATCATGTATCTTCTTCACTGATAGTTCCCTAGTTCTGTCCTCGCCATTGGAGGTGTGAAGCAGTCTTCAATCTACATGATATTTAAAACAACCTAAAATGCAAGTGGAGATGATATTGGAACCAAATGGAATAGAAAAGCATGTGTTCGAAGTCTCAGAAAAGGAACAAGTAGTGATTACCTTATATTGATACCTTTACAAATTTGTGGTGATTCCCTGAGTTTGGCACTGGGGGGGAAAAAAAAAAAAAAAGGATTTGTCTTCAAATCCTAGGTGTGTTTTCAGTGACTTTAATTTGAAGTGACTTGTTCCATTAGGAATTAATACTTAGCTTACAGTCATTGATTCCGCCCCCCCCAGCCTGTACGTTTGGACTGCTTCTGTTTAATTTACTGCGGTAAATTAAATGCACTGACAACAGGCTTGTTTTGTTTTTAAGTCACTGCATCTCCACTTGGTGATCTCTAAGGGGTCTGTATATTTAGAAGGGTTGGAAATTAGTGTCCTCATTACAGTGTCTTAAAACATTGTTGTCTTCTCCTTTCAGGTGTAAATCCTAGTAATTTAATGAACCTCTTCACCTATGAGAAAGGCTACTGCTTCGTTTACTACCTGTCCCAGCTCTGTGGTGACCCAAGACATTTTGACTCCTTCCTAAGAGTGAGTGTGAATAAGCATGTGTTTCTCTTGAGATTTAGAGCTGCTTTTTTTTTTTTCAGGTTTTGTCACTGTGGCTAATTGATAGGGGTGAAGTTGAATACAAGTGCGTCTGAGATGGAAGAATGGTGTGGGCCTGTCTGCCATCCTGTATGATTCTTTCTGTGTGTGACAGGTTTTTATTGAGATTTCTCTTAAGTGAATGTGCTCATGCTCTTCTTTCATCTGAGATTCTGAGCTTACGAGGTGCCAAATACAGAGTAGTAGTTTTTGTTACCTCTTGTTCTGTGCTCCAAATAATTAGAAAGCTGTTCCAGCAGAGATTATCTATGACTGGAATGATGTGACTTCATTACTAAACAGTAACAGCTTGTGGGTTTTTTAGCCAGGGTGACAAAGGGCATGGTTTCCTACGTTGGGGCAGGTTTATTGTCTTGGAGCACATTTGCAAAACCTATAGAAAATTATGTCAGCTGTTTTTGAAAAGTGACACAACTCATTGCTTTTTCTTTTTGCTGCATGCGTGTTTTTTCATCTCCTCTTCCCATCCATCCCCATTCTGTCTTTCTCTTGTCTATAGTTATGTAAGTATGACTTTAGTCCATAATCTATCAGTGAATAATAGTGACCAGCTGTGTTCTGACTTTTCACTAGTGTCAATGT